GAAACAGATAGATAGACAGCCAGATAGATAGAAAAAGATAGAAGGGGAAGAGATTGTGTGCATGGAAGGCAGACACAGATGGAGAGAAAATTAGCATATTTGAAAATGTTACAATCAATATGCGCACCACAACACACACACACACATACCCACCCACCCACGCCACACACCCACGCACACCAAACACAACACAACACACCACGCACAACACACATAACACAACACACCACACCACACTCATCCACCCACCCACCCAACCACCCACCCACACCCACACACCCACCACCCCACCCAACCACCCACACCACACACACCCAACACCACACCCACACCCACCACCACCCACCCACTCCACCCACACCAACAACCACCCACCCACACCCCACCCACACCCACCCACCCACCCACTCACCCACCCACCCCACCACCCCACCCACCCACCCACCCACCACACCACCCACACACCACACCCTAACCCACACACCCACCCACCCACCCACCCACCCACACACACCCGACACTCACCCACACTCACACCCACACCCACACACCACCCACCCACCCACCACCCACACCCACACACACCCACCCACACACACAGGCCACAAGAGCAGTCAATCCCATAACCGGACGCATTGTTCAGCTGGAATGGCCAACACAGGTAAATGAACTCGTGCACTCTTGGACGTATAACCTGAACACATTTTCCCTCGGTTTGTTCTTTGCTGTATGATTTTTTTTGTATTCTGTCTGTCTGTCTATGTCTCTCTTTCTCTCTTCTTGTCATTGTTCTCTCTCTTCTGTCTCTTTCTCTCTCACTTTCTTGTCTTTCTTTCTAATTCTCTTTCTTCGTCTCTCTCTCTCTCTCTCTTCTCTCTCTCTCTCTCTCTCTCTCTCTCTCTTCTCTCTCTCTCTCTCTACTCTCTCTCTCTCCTCTCTCTCTCTCTCTCCCTCTCCCTTCCTCTCCCTCTCTCTCTCTCTTTCTTCTCTATATCTATCTATCTTTCTATTCTATCTTCTATCTCTTTATGACTCCTCTCTGTATACCTTCCTCGCCTTCCCTCCCTTTCCCCTTCCCTTTCATGCCTCCCTTCTTTCTGTCTTTCCCGCTTCCCCCATTCCTTCCCCTCCTCCTCCCCTATCCTTCATTTTCCCCTTCCTTCCTCTCCCTACCCCTTCTCCCTTCCTTCTCCTCTATTCTCCCTCTCCCTATTCTTCCCTGCGCCTCCCCCTTTCGCCTTATCTCCTCCCTTCCCCTTCCCATTACCTTCTCCCCCCCCACCTCCATTTAATTATCCTGTTCACTCCTCCCTCCCTCCCCCCCCCCCCACGCTGCTACCATGTCAACAGAGGTAAACAAGAACTTTAGTTAATATTCACACCAATAGATGGATCTTTTTTTCTTTTTTTTGTAACCCTCATACGACGCGGAAGTCTCGCCAAGTGATGATATTTCCTCAATTCAAGTTAATATTTCGTTTTAATAAAAAAAAAAAAAAAAAAAAAAAAAAAAAAAAAAAAAATCTGCTTGATTTTTTTTTTTTTTTTTTTTTTTTTTTTTTTTTTTTTTTTTTTAGAATCTTTAAACTGTTTATCAATACTTGTTTTTACGTGTTGCTGGCTGTTGTTATCACTGGAACTGCTAATAATGATACTAACCATGATCATAAAGATATTGATAATATTGATAATGATAATCAAGATGATGATGATGATAGCAATATAATAATGATAATAATGGGATAATAGCAATAGTAGCAGCAACAATAACAACAACAATAATAATAATGATAATGATAATAATAATGATGATGATGATGACGACGACGACGGTGATGATGATGATAATGATGAGGATGAGGATGAGGATGATGATGATGATAATAATAATAATAATAATAATAATATAATAATAATAATAATATATAATAATTAATAATAATAATAATAATAATAATAATAATAATATAATGATAATAATATTAATTTAATAATTATGATAATAATTATAATAAATGATATAATATAATAATAAATATTGACAATGATAAATAACAACAACAACAACAATTAACAACAACAATAACATTACAACAATATAATATAATGATAACAACAACACAACGACAAACAAGCAACATATAATAATGATAACAACAACAAAACGACAACAAAAGCAACACAACAACGATAACATAAACAACAGAAGAAAACAGAAGGAAGAACCTGACACATAAACCGCCCAGCTGGTCGAAGAAATATGTCTATTGATCAGCTGAACGCATGATCACGTGGAGGAACAGCGCTATAACAACTCATGAACACCACATAAATGTTGTTTTTTTGTGTGTGTGAACATCAGATGAACATATGAACGTAGATACTTACACAATATCGCTTCTACACGAGCAGTTGGCTGGTCGGGTGAACCAGAACGTGAACAGTTGCTTGAATATCGTATGAACACGGATTCATATATAGTTAGGTAGATAGATAGATA